TTTAAAAAACCCTTGTTTTTGGCAATTATCACTTTGATCACTTTTCCTTCGTATTGGGTTTATTTCAGTATATCTTGTATCTTCTTCCACACACTTTTAAAACTCCTTAAAGGCAGGATCCTATAATATACACAACTCTGTGATTCCTACAGACTAACGATAGAGCAAACTCTCGAAAGAGAAAGGAAAATGGTAAGGCAGAGCAGAACCACCCAGCCCGTTTTCTACAACAGTTTTGAACAAAATATGATAGAAAAAACATTTGGTAGTTCAGCATTGTGCTTCACATGGTCCAAAGACTGGTTGTCATATGATCAGTACAATATCCCCAGGCCTAGTGTAACCAAATTACTACATTTAATAAAAACTAGGTATTTCTTTATTAATATTTCATAAAAAGATAACTCAATACATCCAATAATTCTGGAGAGATTTTTGTGGGAGATAAGATTGGTGAAAAGAACTTACATCTTCACAAACTATGAAATTTACAGCCCTATCCTCAAAAGGTATACAATTAGTTTGCTACCTACTATCAATGGAAACATCTGACATTCTTCATCCAGAGTGAGTATCATATTTGGATAATTTTACTTTTTTCCCCTAAATCGACAGTATATTCTCTATAATCAAAACAAAAAGGTCAAAAAAATATCTATATGTCTTAGAAAGAATGCGCTCTAACATCTTTTTTGTAATCCATTAATAACTTCTTAGTGAGTTTTTAATCCGTATGATCAAAAAAATAGCAAAGTCAGAAAATCTAGCAGACTCAGATCCATTTTTCAAACTATCCAGAACTACAGGAAAACTTCCAGTTTTACTACATGCTATAATAGTTTTCTTCTTCTAGATGGTCAGTTATTTTTCTTAATGTTCTATTTAGTACTCAGCATATCATTATATATATAGTAGACATAATTAACTTACACATATATTCTTTCATGCTAAAACCTCAAAGGAAACAACTATTACAAATTATAAACATGAACTATATTATTCAGGTAAAACATACACTGCTGGGGAAAGGGATAAGAAAATAAATAAATAAAACATACGAATTAGTCAAGACTGGAAAATAAGCTAATATTGTAACTTACCACTAATTAAAATGGTAAAAAACTATCTTAGAAAAAGATGTTGCTCTTACATGGTCTCTGGAGGGAAATGAAACACAAGTTGCTTCCGAGAAGAGGAACGGGTTGGTTACATGATAGATAAGAAGAAGTGTTTTAACTGTATATTTTTTGCAACTTTTGAATTTTATACTATGTGAATGAAGGTTCCACTTAATCACAAAAACAAAAACTGTAGCAGGGCACCTGGGTGGCTCAGTCCTTAAGTGTCTGCCTTCGGCTCAGGTCATGATCCCAGGGTCCTGGGATCCAGCCCTGAGTCTGGCTCCCTGCTCAGTGGGAAGCCGGCTTCTCCCTCTCCCACTCCCCCTGCTTGTATTTGCCCTCTCATTGTCTGTCACATAAATAAATAAAATCTTAAAAAAAAAAAACAAAACAAAAAAAAAAAAAAACCATGGGCACCTGGGTGGCTCAGTGGGTTAAGCCTCTGCCTTCGGCTCAGTTCATGATCTCGGGGTCCTGGGATTGAGCCCCACACCGGGCTCTCTGCTCAGCAGGGAGCCTGCTTCCTCATCTCTCTGCCTGCCTCTCTGCCTACTTGTGATCTCTGTCAAATAAATAAAAATCTTTAAAACAAAACAAAACTGTGGGGAAATGAACATAATGTGATTTGACTTTGACAATGAATATAAACTTATAGCCAATTTAAGATGTGGGCGTCTGCCTTTATAAAATCTAAAATGATTTGTCGTCAAGGAAAAAAAACTAGTATCATTTTATATATATATATATTTTTTTTTTTTTTTTTTTTTTTTTTTAGATATAAAATGGGATCATGACCTGAGCCGAAGGCAGAGGCTTTAACCCACTGATCCACCCAGGTGCCCTGTATCATTATTTATATTAACAAAACTTTTCCGTTTGTTTTTGTTACATAATAAATTGGTTTTTGCATTTCATGAATGTGGCCTTTTAATATTTATTTTCTACTTACAAGTTTTTAGTAAGATTAGCAACCCTATAAGGAAAGTTGCAACAGATACCTGTCACACCGGGGATTTCTCCTGGGTAGTTCAGTATGCAAAACATATCACTGAGAAAAGTAGTTCTTTTAGGATTAATTCTGACTCCTAATCCAGGATTTTCTAAAGTCTACCTTTTAAAAGAACTTGTGATATATACCAGCATTTTTAGAGGCAATGTCAATAGCCAAAATGCCTCTAAACTAAGTTATGATTAAACACATTTTGCAGAGAGAAACAAGAGCTCAATAATCAGGATTTACTGGGTTCACTTCAGCAGCACATATACTAAAATTGGAAGGCCACAAATTAGCATGGCCCCTGTGCAAAGATTTGGTTACATACTCTGTAAAATGTAACCATTAAAATGAAGCACAAATAATAACACAGTTTAAATGAGTGACATTTAAGAGCCTAAACATTTATTCTCAGGGCACCTGGGTGGCTCAGTTGGTTAAGCGTGTTCAGCATCTAACTTCAGCTCAGGTCATGATCTTGGGGACTCCAGTGGGGAGTCTGCTTGTCTCTCCCCCTTCCCACCCCCACCCCCCACTCCTGCTCTCTTTCAAATAAATAAAACTGTTTATAAACAAACAAACATTTGTTCTCTAGTTCAATTACAAATCTAGCTCAAACTTTAAGGAGTAAATGATCAATATTGACCTTTCTTAAAACACAATTGTTTTCCTTTTTTTTTTTTTTTTTAAGATTTTATTCATTGATTTGACAAGAGATCAGAAGTAGACAGAGAGGCAGGCGGTGGGGGAGTGGGGGGGAGGAGCATAATCTCCGCTGAGCAGAGAGCCTGATGCGGGGCTCAATCCCAGGTCCCTGCAATCATGACCTGAGCCGAAGGCAGAGGCTTTAACCCTCTGAGCCACCCAGGAGTCCCAAAAAACTTACAATTTTCATACCCTATAAAGTTCACCTTTCACCCATTTGAAGCATACAATTCAATACTAAACTTTGCATCTTTTTCTTTTACAATTACTCATAGGATATAATTCATGGATTCATATTTTTATTAAAAAAAAAAAAAAACTCTAATAAAGAGGCAAAATCATAGTAACAGAGAACAGAAGGCTGGTTACCAGAGGGTAGGGATGGGGGCAATGGGGAGATACTGATCGAAGGATACAAACTTACAGACCGGAGATGAGTAAGTTCTAGAGACCTGATGTACAGCATAGTGACTACAGTTAATATTAAGTATTGTGTTCTTAAAATCTGCTAAGAAATAGATCTCCAGTGTGGTTTTTTAAAGATTTTATTTATTTATTTTTTGGTCAGAGAGAGAGAAAGCACAAGCATGGGGAGCAACAGGCACAGGAAGAAGCAGGCTCCCCGCTGAGCAAGGAGCCCAATGCAGGACTTGATCCCAGGACCCCGGGATCATGACCCGAGCCAAAGGCAGACACTTAACTGCCACCCACATGTCCCAGATGTCCAGTGTTTTCACCACGCACACACAAAAAAGGGTAACTATGAGAGACGACAGATACATTAATTAGTATGGACTGTAGTAATCATTTTGCAATGTATACATACATCATAACATCACACTGTACATCTTAAATATATACAATTTTATTTCCCACTGATAGAATCCTCTACAGAGAACACTGGCAAATGGCCCACAAATAGATAAAATCAGAATGATTTCTCCAACAACTCAGAATTAACTTGTGTGTCTGGAAGAGCAAGGATTCTGCTTTATCATAAAGTTGTAGGTTTCAAGATAATACTACTTTAATAATTTGCCTACAATACTTTAATAATGTAATAATTTAATAATACCACTACTCTAATAATTTGCCTACAGAGGGCACCCGGGTGGCTCAGGCGGTTAAATGACTGCCTTTGGCTCAGGTCATGATCTCAAGAGTCCTGGGATGGAGTCCTGCATCGGGCTCCCTCCTGCATCGGGCTCCCTGGTCAGCAGGGAGTCCTGTTTCTCTGCCCCTCCCCTGGCTTGTGCGCTTTCTCTCTCTCCCTCTTGCTCGCTCTCTCCCTCAGTAAATAAAATCTTTTAAAAAAATAATAATAATTTGACTACAGATCCATATCAAGGCATTATTAATGCAAATACAAAATAAACCAGGTTGGGGCACCTGGGTGACTCAGTCGTTAAGCATCTGCCTTCTGCTCAGGTCATGATCCCAGGGTCCTGGGATCGAGCCCTGCATTGGGCTCCCTGCTCAGCAGGAAGCCTGCTTCTCCCTCTCACTCTCTCCCTGCTTGTGTTCCCTCTCTCGCTGTGTCTCTGTCAAATAAATAAAATCTTTAAAAAAAAAATTAAAAATAATAAACCAGCTTGTCATTTTCACCTAAGCAATTATATATGAAGAAAGATGCTAGAAACCACTGACTTAATTTCAATAATAAATCATCTTATTTGTAAAAAAAAGATAAGCAAATTATTACTTATAATTTTAGTAATAAATTTACAAGTTTATTATCAATTATAGCTATATCTGCTGTTCAACTCGAAGAACCATCGTAAGGGAAGACAGTAAGTTAAAATCGTCTTGGCAAGCCCAAGTACCATATAAAATCAAGAAAGGAAAATAATCTAAGAGCCTCAATAGATACATTTCATATCATGATTAAGTAAAAAAAGAAAACCCTGCTTACACCTTTATTATCATTAAGATTCAACATAATAATTCTAGGTAAATTAGTGCAGTTCTCCAGAGATTTCTCACTCGTAAAGAACAAAATAAACAGTCCATATTTCAATATGCTACAGCAAATATCACAGGGGGAAGCATTCAGTGGATCATTCAGAGCAGCAAAGTTCACAATTTGACTATCCAAATGTTTATTTATTCTGCTCACAGTAAGGGAAAAGAGAAAGGACAGGAAGATGAGATATAACTGACAGAAAATAACATGTACTCACTGGTCGAGTTGCCTTGCATCTGAATGATGCACTTGGACTCTTTGCTGGTCTCCCGAGAATTGAAGGGCCGAACCCGCACAGCCACCTTCACTGAGGCTCCCGACATTCTGATGGTCTTGCTATATATATATGTATATATATGCAGTCCAGAAAGAAAGAATCAAATCTTCTTTTGAAGTTATGTTCAAGTTTCCTTTAAAAAGAAAGCAATCCCACACAGGTAGTCAGAATTAAAGAAAGCATGGGCTACCATGAGCATAAAGGCTACTCTCTTGCCTCAGGACTATTTCTATTTCCATTTTGAAAAACCTAATCCCTATTCTTCTCATAGATCTTACATTCTCAAAATTTCCAAATAGAAAATTAAAGACTGAAACTTATTTTCCTATTCTCTCTTTCCCATACCTAAAAAGTACCTAAGCTTAATAATAAAATAATAATAACAACAATAATAAATATAACTGCAAAGTATCAGGAATCTTTCTTGTTCTCTGTTTTTCTGGATTAATCTTCAGTAATATATGAAAAACACCGTATGTTTATCTGTTAACTTCCCAACTGCAAAACCCCTTATTACCTTCCTTTAAAGAAATGCTCTGAATTTCCTATACTTCAACTGCAGTTTGAAACATTCAGTTACATGATATATAATTAAACAGCAAAGGACACAGATAAGTTTAAGCAGCTCCTTCCACTTCTAAGTACCCAGGGGTTCCTTGAATTTCCACATGTACCTCATGTGACCCTCACAACCATCCTTTACAATGAGCGGAGAAGTTTCCAGAGAAGGTTCTACCCTCAGATGTGCCACTGACTCATGGCAAAATCAAATCATGACATTTCACTACTGAATGAAGCCACAGGAAGAAATGTGAACATTTTTCAGAGGAACGGTTTCCTTCCCAACAGAACAAAACAAACACTCTTTGGTGAAAAGAACCCGTCTACGTAATCTCCACCAGAAACAACAGATCTCAATCTGCACTCTATCCATTATAGAAACGTTTTCAAGAGGAACCAAATGAAAGAAAAAAGTGAAAAAGAAAACCACACATAAGTCCAATTGTCAGGGAACCCCAATAAAACTTCAATTTCATTTTCTCCCACGTAATGCAATAGAGACCTGCAATCCTACACCACAGCTGCACAACTACTAACGCTTTTCCAGTAAGAAAAGGGCAAAAATCAACCAAAACAAAACAAAGTAAAAACCAAAAGCCACTCCCTACCTCATTACCCTTGTTTTCTTAAGGGCACTATTTAAAATTCTTGTTTTTGGGCACACGCCTCTTGTCCATCTATCACACCTCCATCCAAATGCTCAGAGTTCTTGTTCGCTACCACTGAGGCGAGAGCCCAATGGAAGGGCTCAGGAGATGTCTGCTGAGGGAGAGAATTAATGCACCGCAGCTGACCGCTGAACAATATGGGCTCGAAAAGCACAGGTCCATTTGCACGTGGATTTTTTCAACAAATATATTTTCTCTTTGTTATGATTTTCTTAACATTTTCTTTTCTCGTTTTTGTAAGAAAATGGTATGTAACACGTGTATACCATACAAAATCTCTGTTGATCAACTCATTATGTTATCAGTAAGGCTGATACTAGACTAACAGTGGGCTGTTAGCAGTTAAATTTTGGGGAGTCAGGAGTTATATATGGATTTTCCCCTACATGGGAGGAGGGGAAAGGCACCCCTAAGCCCTAAGTTGTTCAAGGGTTAACTGTATATTTCCCAGTTTGAGAAGTATCTGTTCAAGTCCTTTGCCTGGTTTGCTGACATTTTTTGGTTTTGTTTCAAATAACTGTAATATTTATTGGTATTAATCTTTTTGATATTTGCTGTGATGTTTTTCCAGTCTGTTTCCCATTTTATTTAGCATTAAACAGATGGCTCTTGTTTAACATATCAAACATTTATTATAATCACATTTATCAAATGAAGCTTGGAGTTATTAACTCTCCCAGTCAATAGAGCGTCACCCATAGTCACTAGCTGAGTACCCTGCCAAGAGTGAACAGTATTCTGAAAAAGCAACACAGAACACACTTCAATCCCCCCGCCGCAGGGCTCACAGTGATATACAGCCACATCCGAACACTTAACACGCTCCATTATCTTCTCCCCAAACTAACAATCTCTGTCAATCTTCCCATTTCTATCTGACCTCATACCATAAACCTTGCAGTCAGGTGTGGCTTTTTTCTTCTTTGAATCCTTTTATTAGTATTACATCATTGATATACCATATCAAAACTTTTAAAACACAAATTTGCATATTTCTATCAATTCTTTCCTCCCATTCCCATCCCCATTAGCATTACCCCAACCCACTGCCACTGCCTAACCTAGTCCTCACTACCTCATGCCTAGCATACTTGTAATAGTGGAACTGATCTTTGAGCTTTTCATTTGAATCCAACAGTCCTTACACAGGGCTGCACAAAACAACCACACAGGGGTCTTGTGAAAAGCAAATAAGCCTGGTATTTAACAGTTCTGAAATAGGAATTCTGGGTTTTTGCTGCAAATCTCTTAACCTTGCTGCAATATTAACCTTTCTAAAGCATGAATTTCAATTTCACTTCCAAACTCAAGAATCTTCTCTTACTCCCCATGATTACAACATTAAGACCAAAGTCAAGGCACTCTATGTTCTAATCAGGCTCCTTGACCATCCCCCACACATGCTCTTTCACATTTTCTAATAATTTCTCCCTACAGTGGGCATAGGAATTTTCATTTTTCTCCTATCTGATGGGCCAGCTGTAGCCCTACCTCTTCCTAAAGGACTACCCAAATACTCCAGGAATCACTGGTATTTCCTACAGCACGTATAGCCCCAAACACACGATGAGAACCCTGCTATCATTTCATGTGGCTACAGTCTATATTGTACTGTTATAGCTTCCCAAAGTGAAATTCTTATTGCCTTGAAAAATTCTTTGAACTTGGGTTCCTTGAAAAAATGGCTAATTCCAAGGCTGGGCAAGAAATTTCAAAATTATCCTGGGACATATTATTTTGATCACAAGCAAGAAATCTATCAAAGATGAATAGAGTCATGGCAAAAGGACATAAAAGTGCCAACTTAAAGGGCTCCCAAACATGGAGTAATCAGTGCATAAGAGTAAATACATTCATACAAACCACAGATGGATGGAGAACATCAAATATATAAATTCACAAGTTTATAATACTTTTAAAGAGCCTCATTATTCTGAAAACTGGCAAATAAAAGAGATAAGCATGCACCCAGTCTGTATATCCTGAATAAACTATACTCCAGGATAGCCAAATAGCTGGACAGTCAATGAGGGCAAGTTCTTCACACACGCACACACACACACACACACACACACACAACACACACACACACACACACACACAGTCTGGCTAATAATTGCAGAAGAGAGAACAACTGGAATGTCACCATCCTCCAGCCCTACTGAGAGAAAAGCTGTCTGCAACAGTCGTCACTAGCTGCCACGGGGGGGGGGGGGGGGGGGGGGGGGGGGGGGGAGGGGGGTGGGGGCGGGGGGCGGGTTTGGGGGCTTGGATGATGAATGGTTGGTTGATGTGGGAACATTTTATTGCTTGGATTAGGCTGACAGTAACTGAGCCAAATAATCTTAACGTCACTAAAAGTGGGACACGTAGGTGGTCTATGCTTGCACGTGTACTGCTATGGGAAACACACAGCACCACCTAGGAAGCATTCTTATCCTACCCTCTTAAAAAAAAAAAAAAAAAAAAAAAAAGAAGAGCCTAAGCTTCAGCTCGGACTACCAGTTACAGGACACATGGGGAGCAAATGAAAAATTTAAATGACACTTGAAAGATACAATCAGCCAATCCCAGGATATAGAAAAATCTACAGGTCAATACACCCAATAAATAAATAGCATGGGGGAGAGGGGGTAAATAAAAGAAACTTGTGTTAGTTACCAACCAAATGCATGATTTTTTTAATCAAGAAACTCCACCAAAAAAAAATTTTTTTTCTTAGGTATCAGATTAATCTGAACATAGACTGGTATCAGATAATGTCAGGAAATTTGTTAGGGGAAGAGAGAAGAAGTAAGTTTGCGAAAATGACAGTCATTGAATACTGTAGATATTTAAGTTAAAAAAAAACAAAACCTTCGGTGCCTGGGTGGCTCAGATGGTTAAGGACCTGCCTTCGGCTCCGGTCATGATTCCAAAATCCTGGGATGGAGTCCCGTATCAGGCTTCCTGCTCCTTGAAAAGCCTGCATCACCCTCTGCCTCCCTCTCTCTCTCTCTCTCTCTCTGTCTCTCATGAATAAATAAAATCTTTTTTAAAAAATGACTTAAAACAGGGACGCCTGGGTGGCTCAGTTGGTTAAGCAGCTGCCTTCAGCTCAGGTCATGATCCCAGCATCCTGGGATCGAGTCCCACATCAGGCTCCTTGCTCATCAGGGAACCTGCTTCTCCCTCTGCCTCTGCCTGCCATTCTGTCTGCCTGTGCTCGCTCTCTCTCCCTCTCTCTCTCTGACAAATAAATAAATAAAATCTTTTAAAAAAATAAATAAATAAAAATAAAAAAATAAAAATGACTTAAAACAAAAACAAAAACAAACCGTTCTTCTTTTGTATTCTATTCAAGGCCTGCCAAAGTGTTGAATGCTGCTGACTGATTTACAGAGAGACAACAAAGGCTGAAAACGCCCTTGCAGGAATTTAGATACAAAGAATCACGCACTCTTAACTGGGAACCAAAATGCTAAAATCTCTAACACCTGCCTGCTTCTTCTATCCATCTAATCTACTGACAAATTAAACAGCTTCTACCTATAAAATTTCTTTCCATTTCTACCCCTGCCATCCCTTTTAGATCTGCAGTATTTCTTACCCAAGACTGTTAACCTCACCGCTTTCTCTTGCTTCCTTCCACCCCAACTCTACTGCCCATACTGCCACGTTCATCTGCTCCGTCCATACCACGCAGTACTGACACACTGGTCTTCCTGAAGCACAGGTCTGTTCATGTCTGTGTCCACTTAAAAATCCTCAAAGTTCATCTACTCTCTCCCAGGCAATGACTGCACTTCCCACACTGGCATTCAATGTGTCCTTTTAACATAAACCACCTATTTTGACAAGCCCACAAAACACTGCCTTCCATCCACATTCCCTAACAACCACCCACCAGAGGGCTTCCTGAAAG